GGGTCGTACAGGAGGTGGCCAGTAGATTTGCCTCTCTCACATGGATGTTTCTCTCTCTCTTTCCTTCTCTCTCTCCACAACTCTATCTGAAGATAAATGGGAAAAAGTACCCTCAGGTGAGGATTAAAAAAAAACAACACAAGCCCTGGCCGGTTTGGCTCAGCGGTTAGAGCGTCCGCCTGCGGTCTGGAGAGACCAGGGTTCGGTTCCCGCTAAGGGCATGTACCTCGGTTGCAGTTTGTCCCCGGCCCTGGTTGGTCGTGCGGGTCGTAGCCATTTGATGTGTCCCTTTCACGTCGATGTTTCTCTCTCTCTCTCTCTCTTCCTCTCTCTCCCTCCCACTCTGTACAAAAAATGGAAAAATGTCCTCGGATGAGGATTAAAAACAAAACAAAACAAAACAATTCAGTGTTACACCATCATAAAAAATCCTTATGAAATAATTGTTATTGATGTGGAGAAATGCTTATAAAATAATATTTGGTGAGTAAACTTGAATATAAAGCTATAGATGCTTTAACTATGTAAAAATTGATAGGTGATCTGGTCAATAGATGATTGATACATGACAGATAGGTAAGTAGATTGGTAGATAAATAGGTGTGTGGAAGAAATTTCTGGAACACCAAATATTATCTATAGGTGGTAGAATTACTGGTGATTTTATCCCATTTATTCTTTCCTGTATTTCTCAAATTTTTCACAATCAACTACATTGTTTTTACGCTCAGAAATAAATACCAAATGTCAGGGCACGGCCTCAGGGCCTCCACCCAGGACCCTCGGGTGGAGGGCTTCTCAGAAGGCACTTCGGCCTTTACCTGCGTCCCAGCAGCTCACACCTGGGCATCCGGGAGCCAGTCCAGGGGCAGCTGAGGGAAGTGTTCGCCCTTGGAACGAATCCACACCCCTGTCCACTGCAGCCCATGTCACCTGGCCCAGCATGCTCTTTGGCACAGCCCACCTGAAGGCTGTCCCTAATTCAAACTAAGAAATTACCTTTCTAATCACAGATCAGCATCCTCCCATCACACTCCCCCTCCGCCCACCACTAACTTGCTGACCTAACCTGCCGAGGCTGCATCTCTGTGCTGGTCCTTGCTGAGCGGTCTTCCTGCCCTCGCCTTGAGGTCGGAGCCTGGGAGCAAGAGCCAGCTTTGGGGGAAGGACAGAGCTCCCCACGGCAACCTTGACCAGCCTGGGGCCCTGGGCCTCGGTTTCCTCTTCTGCCGGTGGGGGGGGGGTCGGACATCAAGGCTTCCTACGGCCCCTCTGCTGCCTCTCACTCCAGCCTCTGACTGATCCATCTGCACAGAGGAGCTGGGGCCGCCTTCCCCTCCTGGAAGCAGGTGCCAAGACTAGGGAGCAATTGTTCTGGGACCCTGAGCACAGACCGCAGCCTGTGGGGGCCCCGCCCAGGAGCACTCTAACTGTCACACACACACAAAAAAAGCCCAGGCTAGTCAGAGGGAGGAGGGCTGCACTGGAACACACCCTAATCCACCAGATTTCTCTCCGGGCTGAGCCTGGCGCAGCAGGCCGGCCTCCCCCACGCCTGGCTGTGCTTCCCTGGTCAGCAGCCCAGCTGGGCGGCTTCCAGCTGTGGACAGAGGCGAGGCTACAGGGGCTCTGCCCACTGGAGTGAAGGTGAGGAGGGGGAGGAACTTGTGTGGGCTGAGCAGAGAAGAAAGATCTCGCTGCTGACAGCCGTGAGGGAACTCCTCTCTAAACCCCAGCTTCTGGGCTGATTCAAGGAGCACATGGGCTCACTGGCTAAAGGTATCTGGTACCCAGGCCTGGAACTCAGTCCCATCTCTGCTCTGGACAGACGTTGGTCAGGGCAGATTTCTGAACCCCTGAGCCTAGCAGCTGAACACACAGCCGACTTCCCAGGACCCACTACAGCACCGTCAGGAGCGACAGCGACGGACAGCAGCCCACCAGCAGCAGAAAGGAAGCCGAGAGCCCGGGCAGCCAGCCCCTTCGGCTGACAAGGGGGAAAGGCTCAGAGAAGCTGAACACTTTGTCCAAAGTTACACAGCGAGTTAGTAACAGCGCGAGGTTCAAACTCAGGTCGTTCTGCCTCCCAAACCCCCACCACCCCTCACCCCACCCCACCCATCTGAGTCACCTGCCCACAGAGAGGGCTTTGGTCAGGGGTCCTGACAGCCCTCCGTCCCAGGGCCAGGCCCCTGCAGTAGGTGCCCCAAGACACCCCACAGAGTGAGTCCCCAGAAGCAGAGGCTGAAGGGGACACAGCAGCAGTCACCGCGCAGGGGGAGGTGTTATTCAGATGATACACAAAGTACCTACGAGTGATCACAGGTTATTGATGAATCAACCACCTGAGGGTTTTGTTTGTTTCTGTAACTGAATCACATACATGCAGTGAACTTTTTTCTCTCTTGTCTTTCTGCCAAGTGGAAGGAAATACAATTTGTGGTTGCCTGACCAAACCACGTCTCGCACGGTGAGGGGCCAGCAGACACGTCACCCAGATGTGCTGGCCTCACAGTGCTTGGTCAGTCCTCCTCCTTGGTGCCCAGGGCCACAGCTACCTCTGACTGGCTGATCAGGGCAGGGAGCCAGGTGCCTGGCACCTTGGGCCGAGACATGTTCTCCCAGACCCAGCAGGTGGCTGACTCCAGCAGACAAGCAGGGAGCAGTGACAAGCAAGGGCCCATCACCTTGGCCTGGCCTCCAGGACCCTGACTGTGGGAGCTGGGCATCAGCAGGAGAAAGGTCCCTCTCCGTGGGCACTGCAAGCCTGAGCTGAGGGGCAGCTGTGGCCAGGACTCCGCAGTAGGAACACGGACGGTCTAGACTTAGCGAGAAGGTAAATTACAGGGTCGGCATCAGGAAGGCCTGCCTAGACTCTACCGCTGAGCTCCGCTGCCTCATCTAGTCCAGTCCACGTCTACTGAGTGTCTGCTGTGTGCCAGACACAGTGCCAGGCTTTCTGCAGAGAGCAGAGACAGACAGAATGCCACAGCTGCCGGGGCACTGCCCTCGAGACACTAACGATCCACCAAGGGAGAGAAGGCAGGTACGCATGTAACATCACCGTGCCTTGACACCTCCTGCAAACACCTGGGGGGATGCGTGCTCCTGTGCAGAAGCATGAGCGGGGGGCATAAGATGCCTGCGCAGCCCCCCTGCGAGCTCTGTGTTCACAGCGATGAGAGGATGAGGACAAACCTACCATGTGTGGCCCTGCACACGTCAGACAGCACTAAGTGCTCCCTATTCTGCCGGGCGTCAGGAAGAAGGTACAATAGTCCTGTCCGCTTGTATAGATGAGGACACTGGAGCTTAAAGAGGTCAACACGTGACGTTCCCAGGTTCATAGTGGGCACGGCCGCCCACCGTGTACTTCACCTCTGTGCACGTCACAGCCTAGGCCTCAGAAGATAGCCCCACGAGAACACAGCCTGGAGGCCGCAGCACGAGAGCTGACCCCGGAGGGCGGAGAGCCTGCAGCCGCCGCCCCCACAGGGCAAGTGGAACACATTTCGCCTGTGCCACGTGCGGCCTGTGCTCACCTCATACCCACCAGACAGTTTCTTGAGCAGCTCCCTAAACCTGCACATCTGTGTGTTTCCTAATGTCATAGGCACAGGCCCAACTGCTCTGCTGGGCTGAGGCTTCCTCTGACAGCCCGCCACGACCCGGGACCGAGGGGGGCACAAGGTGCTCCAGCTGAGCTCCTGGGTTTCCAGGTCGCCTTCCCTGCCTCCTTCTCCCCTGAGCAGCGGTCACCCCAGCTCCCCTGGGAAGCCCAGAAGCTGTGAGGGAGGCAGGCAGGGCACAGAAGCCAGCATCGTGGTGCCGGGACGTGGGGGAATCGGGAAATTAGGTGGGCAGGGGAGTCCAGGCTCCGCTCCCAGCCAGCGGCAGGAGACCCTCCGGGGCTCAGTTTCCCTTGACCAGCTCCCACTGCAGCTTCCTGACAGGATCATGATGAGAAAGGGGAAAATGGTGCATGAAAAAAAAGCTTCAAAAAGTTGCACAAATTTAATGCAAACGGGAGAAACGTGGGCGGCTAGGCCTGCCTGGGCAAACTGCCAAGTGAGGCCAGAGGCCCCACAGCTCAGATATGGAAGCTACTCCAGGGATGGCAGGTGCCAGAGACGGCCAGAGCTCCTCTCCTGCTGACGAGACCTACAGAGGGGGCCTCACCGGTGTCCCAGCAGGGCCAGCCTGGCAGTGCGCCCAGGCATCCACTGGCACTCGGTGGCCCAGGCACTGCCTGGTGACGAGCCTGTGGCCTGGAAGCCCTGGGCAAGGAGCCCAGTGTGGACTAGACACCCACAGGAGGACAGCCACCATCTGGCCACCCACCCTGGTGCTGCCTGCATGCAAAGTCCTCTGCTGTGGCAAAGACTTGAGGGCTTTGTGGCTGAGCAGGGACATTGAGACAGAGGCCCGATTTCTCCCTCCTCTGCCTCAGCAGCGGGAATTGGGCAGAGGTGATCGACTGCTTAGGCTCACAGGACAGCCCCGGAGGGTGGAGTCGCTCGCACAGAGATGCGTGCAGGAAGTCTGTCCTATCTGGATAGGGGAGCAGCCCCTCTGGCTCCTGGCAGGCCACCCGCAACACACAACCCCTCCCCCACCCCAGCAACCTGCTCTCCCTTCCACACACCCCCCCCCCGCCCCCGACACGCGGGCTCCGCTCCTTCTGCCCGACACTCAGAGGAACTGTCTTGGTGGCCCCTCCACCCACCCACCCAGGCTGGACGGCTGGCTGTCTTGAGAACAGCAGCAGCTTAGCCCGAGGGTCCTGGGCACAGCCAGGGCCACACTGCCCAGCCACGCAGCACCCCTGCTCCCACCATTGCTCAGAGGGCAGAGGGCAAAGAGGCAGAGTGTGGACTGGGCACAATGGGCTGGGGGCATCCGGCTTATTGGGGTCTTGTGTTCCACTTTCTGCCCTGTCTACATTGGCCCTCACACCCCCAGCTCGGGTGTGGCCATCACCATCCCTGCTGGGGACTCACCGGAGAGGAATCTTGACGCGGAGGTAGCGGTCCACAGCGATGGCCAGCAAGGCCAGGATGGAGCTCTGGGTGAGGACGAGCACGGGGCAGGCCACCATCAGGCAGGTGTGGAAGTAGGTCTGCGGCCCGATGCTGATCAGGATGGCCAGAGGGATGACCAGAGCGCCCACGGCCACATCAGCCACGGCCAGCGATGCGATGAAGCAGAAGGTGGCGTCCCGCAGCGCCTGGTTCACCTTCACGGCCCAGATCACCAGCACGTTCCCCGGCACGGAGACCAGGGCGATGAGCACCTCCACGCTGATGTAGGCAGCCTGGAAGGCCGTGATGGAGGGCGGCATCGCAGCCAAGGGTTGGGCACATCAGACAGCAGGTACCTGTGAGCAGGAGGCCTGGGGTGGGAGGCCTGTGGGTGGGGCGCGGACTGGGACTGTGGAAGTCCCCTCCCTTTGGAGAAGTGCCCTGCTGGACACAGTTGGTTCCTGCCCAGGCTGGGGAGACACCCTGGCCCTCTCTCTGCCTACCCTCTGTCCCTCCCGGAATCGCCCCAGAGGTACCATTCAGCAACTTCAGAGAGCAGCGCTCACTCCTGCACTCGCTTTGTAATCAGGTGTGAAGCAGCTGCCCGCACACACCCCACAGGGTCCCCCATGCCTGGCGCTGCCCACTTGTGCCCACAGAACGGGACGCCAGGAGCTCACCAGCCTGCCTGCTGGCCGCCAGGGAGTCCCAGAGGCAGCGCTCAAAGCGAGGGCACCTGGTGCGCCCGGAGCTCCCGGATGCGCGGGGCAGGGCTGGGCTGTGGGCACCGCGGCAGCTCATCGTCCTGGCTCCGCCGCAGCGCTGCCGGCCCAGCCTTTCGAGCGATCACATGGTGCGCGGAGGCTCGGCCCGGGCGCTTTTAAAGAGGTAGCGCCCTGCTCCACACCTGGGACGGGACTGACGGCAGGGGCTCTGGGGTCCGAGCCGGCGCCGCCGCAGCGCGGGGTGCGCCTTCCCCCGCGTGCGCCCACCCACCTGCGGCGCTGGGCGCCGGCCCGCAGCAGCGCCCTGGCTCCGCTCCAGCTCTACCCGGGGAGCCTCGCCCACCCTGTCCCTGGAAGGGGGCTCTCCCGTCGCCCACTGCAACCCTCTCCTGCATCCCTCTCGGGGAGCCCGATGCGCCAGAAACAGGACCTACCCAAGGTCACCAAAGCTGGCAGAGCCGACAGCCGCCTGAGCAGGTCTGACCAAAAGCCCGCCCAGCCCGACTCCTTCAGCAGCCGCCGGCTCGGGTGCCGGGAGCCCCGGGCCAAGCCCCAGGTCCGGGGAGGAAGCTGCTCGGACTCGGCGCCCCGCAGCGCGGGAGCTGACAACCCAGCTCCAGGCAGCCGAGGGGCGGGGGTGGCGGCACCGGCCCCTCCCTCCTCGCCCTCCCTCTACTCCCCCACCCCCTCCGCTGAACAAAGGAACTGGTTCTGGGTGAGAAAAGCTGGGGAACATGAGCTTTCTGAGGGGTCCCTGGTGTGAACCCAGCCTTGGGAGTGGACAGAGGTGCAGCCTCCCGCGTCCACCGCCCCTTCTCCGCGGGGTGCCAGAGGCGACCCCCTCCACCAGCGGGTTGCTTCCCAGACCTGGAGCCTCCCTCTGACTCCTTCCACCCCACCCCTCAGTCCTGAAACCTGCTCCCACGAGGCCGCCGGGACATTCTCAGGAAGTAGCATCTTTCTTGCCTCACTCCTGAGTCATTATCACATCCTTCCCCTGCCTCCCTGGTCTGTTAGCAATTTCCATTTCACAGATGGGGTACCAGGCTCAGAGAAGCCATCTCGCTTCCCAAGATCCTCTCCATCATGCCCCCCACCCCCAGTGCCCCCTCCGTGCTCCTCTGCTGCTCACACTCCAGTCCTCTGGTGTTGCCGATGAGCCAGCCAGGGAGCAGGGTGCACAGGGAATTCTGGCTGAGGCCCTGCACAGGGCTCCCTCTGTTACCACCAGAGTGCCCTCCTGGCTGCCTCCTGCTGCAGGGTCAGGTACCCACTAAGGACCCCGGGCCTGCCTCCTACCCCCTACCAGACCCTCACTAGGAACAGGTATCCCAACCCGAGAAATTCTTTTTTTTTTTTATTTCATCCTCACCTGAGGACATTTTCCCATTTTTTGTTCAGGTAGACTGGGAGGGAGGGAGAGGAAGAGAGAGAAACATCAATGTGAAAGGGACACATCGAGTGGCTGCCTCCCACAGGGCCCAACCAGGGCCGGGGACAAACAGCAACCGAGGTACACGCCCTTAGCGGGAAGTGAACCCGGGTCTCTCTGGACCACAGGCCGGTGCTCTAACCGCTGAGCCAAATCCACCAGGGCGAGAAATTCTTTTTTAAATTTTTTCTTTATTGATTTTAGAGAGAGAAGAAGGGAGAGGGAGAGAGAGATAGAAACATTGATGAGAAAGAACATCGACTGGCTGCCTCCTGCATGCCCCCCACTGGGGATCAGGCCCACAACATGGACATGTGCCCTGACCAGGAATCGAACCAGCGACCTCTTGGGGCAGGGTCAATGCTCAACCACTGAGCCACATCGGTCAGCCAGGCCCAACCAGAGAAATCCTCCTTCGTGGAAAGCAGGAAAGGGCCCTGGGCCACACCAAGCCCCTGAGGCGCTGCCCCTTATTGCATCTCAGGACACCCAGAGAGTCCTGCCCAGAGGAGAGGCTCTTTGCTGAATCTTGGGGGGGGGGGGTAACTTCCATTTCTGCCTCAGACAGCACAGTGTGTGGTCTTTCCCTAGGGCTTAGCTGGAGAAACTGGGAAGTATCTATTCTCCCTCCGGCTCCCCACGACCCTCAGCACTCCCAGGGGCATCCATGTCTGACACTCGTCACTCCCCAGCCACCCCAAAGCCTTTGCACCCGTCCACCCTGACCCAAGTTCTTTTGTGATCAGGGCTCTCTCTTGATGTTCCCTCAGCGTCCCAGCTGTGGCTCGTCTGGCTGCCAGACACCTGCAGAGAGAGACCCAGGCAGCCTGGGCTGCAGCGAGGGGTGGGTGACGAGTCGCCTACCCCACCACCTTCAGCTCTGGAGGCACCTGAGCCCCTCCCCACACACTCTCACCCCCAAGGGAACAGGCGCAGACAACTCTGCATACTCCCTGTGGGTAATAGGTCTGCTCCTCAGTTCTGGGTCCAAAAAAAAGCAAAACTCTCATCCCTTCTCTTCACTGCCGCCCCAGCCTGCTCCCTGAGCCAGGCCGCCTGGGGGAGCCGAAGCTGGGTCCGTCCACCCCAGACCTCGGGTGCTCCTGGAGCGAGGCGGGGTCCATTCGAGCTCTGTGCTCTGGGGCGGCATGTCCATGGGGTGCAGTCAGAAGAGTTGGCATCCGGCACCACTCTGCCCTTCACTGGCTGCGTGGCCTCCTGGAGTCTCCTCTGCCTCGCTTGACCCGTCAGTGGAGACGATGTGCAGCTATTGTCCTGTTGTGCTCGGACGCACCCCCTGTAAGCCCGCTCCACCTCGCGACCTGCCACCCCCACCGGGACGTTTCCAGGGCAGGGAGGAGAGAGGTGGGTGGTGGGGGAGGAGAGTAGGGTCAGAGTCTATCGTAGGGAGAGGATGATTTGGGGACCTGTACGCAGAATAGGTGGAACCAACATTCTGGAATTTGTACTGAGCCGAAAACTCTCTGGCTTCCTAGTGTGTCCAGGACCCCTGACCAGATGACCTGCCCACACCAGGGTCCAGGGAGGCTCTGCAGCCTGTGACCTCCACGTCCCCTAGCCTTGAACAGCTCAGCCTTGGCTTCTTCCTCTGCCACGGGCCCAGAGTAGCACCTCACCGCATGGCGACAAGGGCTTCATGAGCTGACTGCGGAGTGTCCAGTTGCCATGTCATCAGTGATGCAGCAGGCCACAGGGGCAAGTTGGACAGTGTGTGTGTGTGTGTGGGGGGGGGGGTTCTGGAATCCGCTCTGTGCAGCCAGTCATGACAAAGCTGGCCCCAGGTCCCACGGGGCCAGGTGTGGGTGCCCTTGAAGGCCGTCAGTGAAAAGCTCCTATTTGGCATGTGGCCGACGAGACAAAGGCACAGTGAATGGAAAGAGCCCGGGCCGGCCTCACCCCCCCACCTCTCACCTGCGTCTCCTCCGGAAGCCCCTGTCCTGGGCTTTGCACTGAGGGCCGGGAGGGGGGCTGCAATGAAAGCACCCCCTCCTGGGGTATCTGTGCTGGGCCAGAAGCCCCAAGTCAGGAAGGGGCCTGCCCAAGGAGGATCACCCTTGGACACATCAGCAGGACGAGGCCTAGGGAAGGGAGGACGTTCCAGGTTCTCTTCTTCCCCTTCCAACACGCAGGGGTTACATTTGGTCCTGTGCTTTCCAGGTCGCTCTGGGCATTGTGCTGGGGGAGGGGGAAGGGGAGGGGGAGGGGGAAGGAGGGGAGGGGGAGGAAGAGGAGGGGCTGGCGGAGGGCAGGCCGATTGAAGAACAAGATTTCTGAGGTGAAGGAAGCCCTGGCCTCCCCCCAGGGCCCTCTGAGACCAGCCCCTGCAGTGACTTTCTGGACCTGTCTTCCTCTTCAGATGGGCTGGAAGCCTCTGCCGTCTCCATGTCTCCTCCCCGTCCTGGTCGGGCTCCAGTGGGGGAGACGCTGGGTCAGTGGGGAGAGCCCAGGCCGCCAGCCCCCTCAGTGCCTGTGTTGGGCAGGGGGGGAGTGGGTGGGCTGGCCGAGCTCATGGGTCCAGGTCTCTCCGGATGGCAGAACGTTCCTAAGTTCCTAAGTGAGGTTGCTGCTTTCATTTCTTTCTCCGCATCATCGTTCTTTCCCTCATTCATCCATTTATTCTGTTCAACAAACATGTGCTGCCCTGTTACCAACAGCGAGCTGAGCACTAAAGAAATTATAACATCTCAGTCTCCAGAAGGAGCTGCCAGTCAGGGGGGCACATAAGGCACAAGGGACCCCAACTGACAGCCCTGCCTGTGAGGGTCAGGATGTCTCCCCCAGCCCCACCTAGGAGCACTCCCTCTGGCTGGATTTGGCAGGGATGATGAGGCGCTAATACCCGAAGGATCAGGGTTTGGAACTATGGGCAGAGGACAGGAACGGAGCAGGGGGCTGGGAAGGGGGGCCTGGTCTTGGGGACTCAGAAAACCAGTCCCCCTTTGCCAGAGCAGCTGAGCTGATTCAATCCACACTTGGTTTCTTGGTATAAGACCTTTTCTTTTCTTTTATTTATTTATTTATTTTTTATCCTCACCCGAGGATATTTTTCCATTTTTTGTACAGATAGAGTGGGAGGGAGAGAGAGAGAGAAACATCGACGTGAAGGGACACATCGAGTGGCTGCCACCCGCACGACCAACCAGGGCCGGGGACAAACTGCAACCGAAGTACGTGCCCTTAGCGGGAACCGAACCCGGGTCTTTCCGGACCGCAGGCCCACGCTCTAACCGCTGAGCCAAACTGGCCAGGGCAAGACCTTTTATTTTTAACATGAGATTTCTATTAGCTCTGTAGCTTTAAAAACTTGAAAATCTGACCTTCAAGCCAACCTTTCCACTCCACAGAGAAGGAAACTGAGACCCAGAGAGTCAATAAACATGTTCCAACCCCACATTAGTTGGGGCAGAGCCTGGCGCCCAGGGGCACATCGAAGGTGAGCCACACTCAGGGGTACCCTTGAGCACCAGCCCTTTAAACTCAGCGTGGTGAGGTCGGGCCTTGATTTTCACACCCTCCCCCTTGGGCTGCCAACTCAGAGAACCAGCATCAGGAAGACACACTTTCCCACAGTGATCAAGGCCCCTGGTGCTCTTC